ACTAAAAAGCAAATCAAAAATCATAACTTGATTTTGATTTGCTGTTATATAGTAGGGATGTAAGGATTCCTCGATTAAAGTAGAGTACTCGATTTTAAAAAAATCCTCGATTTCAATTTACCCGTGTCGAGTACCGGCAAAATACCGGAAGTGGCGCATTCCACAGACGAGAATTCACGAACTGCATTATTACACCGTTTTCTAAGGCTACGTGATATAATTAAAACCATTTACAATCATAATATAGCATAGTGCTATCGTGAAATCACAAAGGCTGTGATTCAGTTAAATAAATATATGCGCTGTTTTTTTTGTTTAGTTTTTTCACAAAGAAGCACGACAATGAATTATTTACACGCGTGCAGAATACATGTTAAAATTACCTTAGCTCCATTCATTGTAAGCACTGCTCCATATACTCAGTCTCGGCATGTGCTGTTTGTTTAGGTTTCCAATAATGTGCATTTGGGAACGCAAAACCTTGGACGCGTGTTTCATAGTTGCACTGTTATCATTTAAGTTCGTGGAGCGTCTCGGGCATGCGTCTCGGGCACTCCATCTCTGCATGTTGTGAGTTTGTGTTGTTTATAACGTTCATCCGCACGCAATGTGCGCCATTTCACAAGATTCGTAACGCAACTCATTTATAAATCTACGCCAACACAGGAGAATACATAAGTATGTTTCTGAAAATGCGAATTGTTGTTCATCGCGATTTCAAAATAAAAGTTTAACCCTTGCACTGAGTAGGCATGTTTTGATGTGCACAGTGCACATGTTCTTGTTCAAGAAATTACTGCGGCTGCTGCATTTCTATTGGACAGAACTGACCAAATATGAAAGATTAAGTTGACATGTGAATTAAATGTTGTTTGGCCAATATTACACAAGGATTTGATCACGTCTTAGGTTTAGTGTAACCAGGCCGTTGGCGCCCTCTCCGGGCATTTGTTTTAACACGTAATGTACATAAGTTATGTTTATTAGTTCATCTCATATATTTTACATGGTGTATTTAAACAGGGTTGTTCAATAAAACCCTTATGATTACTTTGAATTATTAAAATGTATTGCTTGTTATTATATATTTGGGTAACACTTTACAATAAGCTTCATTAGTTAACATTAATGTATTAACCAACATGAACTAACCATGAACAAGCTACATTTGTAACTGTATTTATTAATCTTTGTTAATGTTAGATAATATAAATCCAGCTGTTCATTGTTTGTTCATGTTAGTTCATGTTAATGTTAACAAATACAACCTTTGATTTGAATAATGTATTAGTAAATGTTGAAATTAATATGAACTAAAATTAATAAATGCTGTAGAAGTATTGTTCATTCTTAGGATGTTAACTAAGGTAGTTAACAAATGTTAACGAATTAACCTTATTGTAAAGTGTTACCTATTTTAAGTCATTTTAAAGGCTGTTGTTCACTTGGATCTATTTTACCACAGTTTTTTATCCGATTACTCGATTAATCGATGGAATAATCAGTAGAATACTCAATTACTAAAATAATCGATAGCTACAGCCCTAGAATACAGCATAAGCAGTATAGTCTGATTCCCAAACAAGTGACTCAAATACACGACAAACAAAATATAATACATGGAAAAAGTTACAGATGCTGTAACAAGATTCAGCCAGTCAACAGCAGGAGCTTGTAATCTAACACTAGCGCAACCTATTAATAACCTACCCACAATCAATATGCACATTAGTACTCCTGTATAATTCAATACAAATATAATTCAATACGTCCCTTGCACTAAAAAGCCCATATTAGGCTATATTAAGAACGATATGAAACCATATCATACATTTCAGTTCTTAAATTTCACCCCTATGGACATGAACATCCAAACCTCCATGTAATTAGAAACTTTTTGTTTGAACTTTCTGGCATGACCTTTTGACGGCACTTTAAACAAATGAACAAGCATTCCCTCCCCTCCACTATTCCCTTGCACCAAGGCCTCTTGGGTAATGTAGTCCATACTTGTAATACTGAAGAGCCTGTCTTCTCAGGTGTACATTTTCTTTTTCATTCTCTACAATACTCTGTAAGGCAAAGCTGTCCTAAATGCAATTACTGTACACAGCAGAGCGGAGCGGAGAGTGTCCGCAGGGATCGCTGGTAAACAGGATGCAGTCAGGGGGTGCGGGAGTTCTGCTGCTACCTAATTTAATTGGCGTGGCTACTCAGCTAGCCCCAGGTGACCGCTACATGGAATCTTTATAAAGAATACGGTTAAATCACCCTAGGCTATACTGATGCATCTTTTTTTTTTCAAGATCCCTTCGTGCTGAGTTTTTTTTTTATTGCTTTCGCTCCATCCCAGGGAGGAACTGTTGTAGGCATGATGAGTTTATAAGGAATATATTAAGAGTGTAAACAGTGATGGTACCGCTGAGATGAAAAATAAAGAAGATAAATGGTTTGCAAGGAAGAGAGAAACCATGACAAAGAAAGAGAGGATGGTAACTGAATCTAAAAGCCTGCTGTTATTTCTTAGTTGTAAGATGCAAATGAAAAATGATTACACCAAAGCAGCCCATACTTCAAAATCTATATGAAGAAGAATTTTTAAGTATTAATCACTCAAAATTATCAAGTTTCAAACCCTACAAAACGATTATTTAAAAAAAAAAAAAAACATATATTTGGATGTTATAACAATAAATATAAATATAATAAATAAATAAACAAGCAAACAAACTTACACTACCGTTCAAAAGTTTGGGGTCAGTAAGATTTAAAAAATAATCATTTAGAAAATTGTTATTCAGCACGGAGACTTTTTTTGATTAAAAGTGACAGTAAAGACATTTCTGAAGGATCATGTGACACTGAAGACTGGAGTAATGGTTCCTGGAAATTCAGCTTAATTTTTGATCAAATAAATGCAATGTATAAATTGTATACAAACAATCCTAAACATTGGTTTGGTTCTAAAATCTAAATTTTACACACACAAAGAGCTTTGTGAACTTTTTACTATACAATTTCTGAGATCCTAATGATTCATCTTCAGCAACCAACCCAAGACCTGCTCTTCAGATCACACTCACAGCTCTGGAGAACCTTCATGCATTTCATCAATTCTAGATGCCACAAGAGCAAGAGCAATTTGATTGTCATCAAAAAACATGTACGGAAAATGTTTGATAGAAGTATAAACAGGGCTCTAGAGTGCGACCAATTTGGTCGCATATGCGACCAAAATTTGTAAGGGTGCGACTAAATTTTTTCCTAGGTCGCACCAGTGCACCTAACGTTCTCGCATGATCGCATCCGTTGCCTCTCAACAAACGAGTCTTTTGTTCTCCTTGCACGCATGGTTGGATCATATCGTGGTCTAAACCAATCAGAGATAGAGATTGGGCGGGTCTTTGCCTCTGATTGGCTGTGGTTCAGATATTCCTGTAGGACTAAAATGCTCCGTGCTGTGTGATTGAAATAAATTGCGACGTGAGCACCAGAGAATCAGTTACGGCAATCAGCAGCATCAGCTAAATAAACGTAAGAAAACAGACGACGAAGAAACTTTCCGCATCTTTCACATGGAATCGCTCAATCAGTGTTTCAACCGTGGAAAGACATCAGTAAAACGCTTGTAAACAATGTAATGTAACGTCACATTTACCTCAGAAAAAAACATATCCAGTGCCCATAAACTCGTTAGCTAGCAAGAAAAATTAACTCTAGGGAGGAGCATTTTGCCAAATATATGCACCATATTGCATATTCATTATAATTTTTTTATGTTTTTCAATATTTAATGCATGTTGTTTGAAAAAATCTGGCAAGTTTTTATGCAGCCACCATTTAAATGTTTATATTTCATATAACTTTATTATTATAAAAATAAATAAAAGTGTAATTTAAGTGTTTGTGTACAAATCAGGTAATTTTTACCTTCAATATTATAGTAGGCTAATGAAGCATAGTGGGCTACAACTGACTCCCAATTTACAGCATTAGTTAAGAGATTTGTTTTCCTTGAGAAAATTTGCCATGTACTGTACCTGATATCCAAAATAATCAATATTGAATCGAATTGTGAAATTTGTGTCAATACCCTGCCCTAACTTGAACAATGTAAAAACAGCACTTTAAATGTTTTTTTTTAAAAGATTTATATTTTTATATACAGTATAATTGTGCTTCAAATTTTTTTATTTATTATTATTCTTGTTTAAAAGCATTTACATAATATATATGAATGTATATGGAGCGTGATAAAAAGGTGACCTTGAAATTGTGGCGTTAAAGGCGACGCGAGACGAGGAAAAATTTTAGTGCACCTAAATTTTGTGCTGGTGCACCTAAATAAAAAAGTTAGGCGCACCAGTGCAACCAAGGCAAAAAGTTAGTCTGGAGTCCTGATAGATGATATTCATATAAAAAAAAATAAAAAATAAAATAAAAAAAAACCTAGACCAATAAGTAGTGCCAAAATGTGGCCACAGAAAATCAGATCCTTTAAACCACTGGCACCAACTCATTTCCTCATCCACCAAGTCACATTCTTCACCAACTACATGCATCAATTCATCACACAAAACTCATTTGTTTAAATTTTAGAAAAATAATAAGAAAATCCTCACACATACGTTAATCTCCCTGACAAAGAGATTCAAACCCTGGAAATAATCGGGCCGTATTCTGAGCAGGCTCATTAGCTGATTCTCTGATACATCTAAACAGAATCCGTTCGCGTCTCATCTCGAGGCAGTGTTGGCCGTCACACAGTCGTGAGCCCACACTCATCGCTGGAACATTCCAATTACCCCAACAACAAACTCATCGCTCACATCGCCAACTTCCTCCAATTTGAGCTATTTCCAGATTAGCGCTTGACTTCTTGCCTTCCTTAAGTGGCATTCGTAACACAGTTTAAAACCAGTATAGACACAATACAGCCTCAGCAGATGAAGTCTGATGATGTTTCAGCAGGATAAAGGAGGATTTGAAAATGTGCTTACCTGAAACGGCGAGAATATCTGATCAGCCAAACAGCACATGAGAAAAAAGAGAAGGAGAGAGAGAAAGAGATGGTGATTAGACCTGAAGTAATCAATCAATCTTAAATGATTTTCACCATTAGATTTAATCACCGTTAAATCTAATTAACTAGCTATTAAAGGGTTTCTTCAGGTGGTCAGCATTCCTGAGATGAAAACTGTCACACAACTGCGGTGACATTACAAAAGCACATCAATTATTCCTTGATGAGAAGAACTACTTCATTCAACGTAGGAAAAGGAAGACTGCTGCTAATTATTCATGGTGGAACAATTATTTAATTTAATGAAATGAAACATTATTTCCTCTGGAGCGTCATCATTTCTTTAAAAACAATATAGATTCTGTAGGTAGGGATATATAAAATTGAAGTTCATCATATTTCCTGCAAAAGATCTGCACTCCAAGTTTAGATGTTGAGACGAATAAGCAGGGAAATATGCATGCTGACCCCTTTTGATTATGCAGATTGCAAATTGAATTTAGTTTGCTCATTAACAGAGGTGAAGTCAATGTGTGTCTGTTTGGGTTAGGGTTAGTTTATGGTAATTATAATTAGCTGTATTTAAATTTTGATATGAGCGATACACACTTAGCAGAGGTGGATAAGTTGAGTCACAGGAGGACCGGGGGTATGTTTCCATTGCGTTTACACCATGTCATATTTACCGTAATTAAGAGATGGCATCCCGTGACGTTCTACCCGTAGCTGTTCACGTCCTCGGACTCAGAATTATGCATTTCTATGTCAACACTATCAACACCAAAGTGAATCTGCAGCGGTCAGGTGGTAAAAGTAAGAGCTCTTTAAGTTTACATTCAATATTATTGTAATGTTATGTGCTTTGGGGACATGAGGTAATTTAACGCTGTCTCTCATGAAGCTTTGCAGACTCTGCTCTGACTATGCGCATTCATGTGTTTTGAAGAAGGCATGATTTTGAAGTGCACTCTGAAGGGAGGGTGGGATCTCATGCTTTCAAAGCTAGCTTGCTATTGCTAACCTCTCCGAAACTGCTTACCCTACCGTTTCATGACCTGTTAGTGACAAAAACTGATGGAAAGGACTAAGAGTGGCATTTAGAGGGCAGGTGGGGGTGGCAATGCCAGGACATCAGCTTTCATGGTAGCATGAGGAAGTTAGTAATCAGGTGGATAAGGGTAGAGAGAACAGGACAGCTTTCCACAAATTCCACGCCACAATTATCACAGCCATGATTAAAAAACAGACTGAAAACTCACTGATGACTGCACTGTGATGCATAATAATAGAGATGCAACGATATTAAATGTCTCCACCGATATCGATAGGCAGGGGTTAAATTGGTCCAGGGCTGAGGCACACCAGCTTACGCTGGTAAACTCAACAGTGGACTTTCCTCGTACAATTTCAACAATATAGTATTTTTTTTTACACCTTTCTTTTTCTTACTAATTCAACCAATGATTCAAGAGCATTGCCTTTTATGGTCCCTAATAATGGACAAGACAGCATGCAAGTAAATTACAGCAGTGTGAGCACAGTGACAAAGCTTGCACGTAAAATATAAACCTGCAGAAATAACAAACCCCAAACGTGATTGTGCACACAAATCAGCACGTTGCGAGGATAACAAAACTGCGAGTCCTCACAGGTCTCACAAGAGCAGGACTGACCACAAGCATGAGTTTTGTCCAGCAGATCTTAACACAAGCGAGCAGAATTCTTCACGCGGTCAGTTTTGACAGGGTGCGGGGTCCTATGAGTTAACAACTGCTATTGACTGCTGGCCTTATTGACTGCTACTGCTACTGCTATTGACTGCCTGGCTCTTATTTTGGTTGGCTGCTTTACGTTTTTTGTTTGAGTTCATGCCTTAATAGCTGTATTTCATAAATGTACAGTATGATGCTCGGGAGGCTCACAGCAAATTATAAACGGTCAGCCATTTAAAAGATGAACGTTGTGATGTTAATGTTGTACACTAGAGGGAGCCACATGATCCTTTAAGTCTAATGTTTTTCCTATCAGTTTCCATCCCTTTGAATGGAAATGCAAAAATTCTAAACGTAGGGTACGCACTACACACAGCCTACGACAGTGGTTCTCAACTCCAGTCCTCGCGACCCACTGCTCTGCATATTGTGTATGTCTCCCTTATTTAACACACCTGATTCAGATCCTTAGCTCGAGCTGAGGATCTGCTACCCCTACTACTCCGCTTTCTCCACAGAACAAGAGCCTGCTAGCTTAGCTTCCAAAAAATGATGGCTGACACTATGTGTACATTCTGTGAGTGAGATCCCACCCTCTATGGGCGGGTTGAGAACATGCGGAACAGCCCCTACTACTAACTGTAGTCTTTAGCCTCTGGCCAAAAAATCCTCAGATGACGCAAAATGACGATTTTTGCGTCATCTGAGGATTTTTTCCAGACAAAAAAATACATAAATCTCTCGTCTCAGGGGGATATGAGGGTGGAAAGCATGGTAATTCGAAAATACTACAGGTTTTCTACTAATACAAAGCTTAATGCTAAATCCTGAAGTATCCCTTTAAGTCAGTGGCTCTCAAAGTTGAGTACCTCTAGTGGTACGCAGAGGAATCACTAAATTAAATATAATGTTAAAAAACAATACATTTTAATTTAATCTTTTAGGTAAAACACATTTTAATTTAATTATTTTACACATTTACCTGTATGTAAGCACAGTGCAGTGTTAAAGGGTCCCTATTATGGATTTTTGAAAATTACCTTTCATGTAGTGTGTAACATATAGCGAAGTGAATGAAAACATCCTGCAAAGTTTTAAATCTGAAAGTCCATCGTATATAAAGTTATTTTCTTTCAAAAGTGAGAGTCGACTCTGAGGCAATGAAATAATAATTTTTCAATTGAGTCATAACCGTTTCGTCAAGGCGAAACATCAGCATATTGCCCGCCCACTTATTGCGCGCACAGACACCAGTGAAAACTTGAACCCCCTCAAACATTGCAGCTGATTCCTGTGGATACTGGACAGCATCATGTCGAGAAGACGCTGTGCTCTACAATGTGAAGGTAAACCCAGTTTTATTTCACTGCCCAAGGACGAGCATGTGAAGAATCAGTGGTTAAAATTAAGCTTTACCACGATTTCACAGCAGTATAATCCTAAACTTTTGCGGTGTTCCCTTTATTTGATGACTGCTTCTCAAATCTCGGAGTTCAATGCAGGATTCGCAAACCGCTTGCTCTTGAAAGATGGTGTTCAAATACTTAGTTTTGAGTTTGATATTGTGTAGGTCTCCTGCTAACCCTCTGGGGACCAAGAACGCGCCGGCACGTTTTGCTGTTTTTTTTCCACATAGCAGCAACATAGACTTAAAATACTCCGTCATTTATGGTCATACAAATAAAATCAATACATGATTATAAACTATAGAGGGTCTTCTTTTTTTTGTGTACATTCACATTAACATCAAAACCTTGTTGTTGTTTTTTTTTTAAATAAATAAAATAAACAGGGTGCGCTTTCAGCTCACTCTGTCTCCGCAAAAATCTTTCTGAAACATGTCTGGAAAATGAACGGAAACTCTGCTAATACTTATCACACAAACATGAAACATACGTCTAAAGAACGCTATAAATTTCTACTTTTAAATAAAACAATTCACATTTAAAACAAATATTCTCCTGCAATGTAATCTGTCTGAAACTAAAGAGAAGTACAGTTTCTCCTGTCTCAGCTCATTATCGCTAATTTGTTCACACCCACTCGCAGAGCGCGCTATTCATAAGATAATGTGTTGAGGCCATTTGCAAAATAGATAAACGCCCCCAGGCAAATACTGTAAACACACAATATTTTTTTGTCAGATTAAGATTTGTCTTGCGCGGCTATGAGGAATAATCCTGGGACATTTACCACAGAAGGGCTGGTTTATTTTCACTTCGAGGAGGAGCAACAGATTCAGCTGAGAAGTGTAAGTGTTTTGTGCTTTGTCCTAATCGCGATATAGAATAACGTTAGTGTCTGTAAACGGAAAAATAGCATAGCCTACTGTTTAAATGTGAATCATGTTTCTGTGTGTGTGTGTGTGTGTGTTTGTGTGTGTGTGAATGAATGAATGAATGAACACACAGATACGCACTGTTACAGACGAAATAAAAGAACATTTCTTTGACTAGTTTTGGATAAAGTTTTTCAAATCAAATAAGCATCAAATAAGCTTCAAAATAAAGACATCAAATAAGCTTATGTTTTGTCAATAAACTAATCAACTAAGATGTTTGTTCCAATGCAAGCTATATCAAAATAATGAATCCTCAACTTTGAAATATGTATGATCAAACTAAGACATTTATGGAAAAAGACTATTTTCTTTTCAAGATGTTTCCAACTCTAACTTTGAACTGAAATAAAACCATGTCTATATGGTGAAGGGTGTGTGATAGAAGTGTCCAGACATATGCACCCTGTATTTTAAAGAAGAACATTTAATTATTTGCGATACATTATTCATTCACAAAGAATTCAGGGACATTATTCATTTCCCTAAAGGTTGGAGTTTTCCTCATTTTTTAAATTAAGGCATTAAGATTTTTTATTCCTTTAGTCAACTTTAGCATGGGTGTTTTCACTTATTCTAAGCAGTGTGTGTGTGTGTATATATATATAATTAAAAAGCAATTTTAACCAGAAACCAGTCCTTTGTTGTGTATCTTTGGATTATGTCGTGTTGTAAATAAATCCAAACAATCTAAAAGCCATTCTTTTTTAAATCTCCTCATTCTTTGTGCAAGGCTCCTCGTAATGATATGGCCTGATAGCACCTAATAGGGCCATTATGGGAGGGTCTTTGTCTTTCTCAGGTGTGAAATGCCATACATATTAATGAGAGATCACGCCTCCCCGCATAAAGCTTTCTCACACTAAACACGCATTATAAAAGACTTTATTGACTTATCTGAATGAGTAGTCAGGATGATTCTCACATAGTTTTGGAGCAAATATT